AGGTTGAAAAAAAAATGTAAAAAAAGATTTATTCAAGAGTTAAAACAATAAAAATCAAAACAATAGTTTTCATAATTTTTATTTAAATTACAAAATTAATAAATGAAATGGATGAACAAATTTTTATTGAAATATAATACAACAAAAAGTGATATTTGTTTTAACTGATAAACAGAGACAATGTTTTTATTTTAAACGAGACATGTTGAAATAGAAAAGTTGCTTTCCAGTGTTGACAAGTGTGCGTTAACCCCAAAATTCGCTGTCTGTTTGAAAACAGTATCGAACATGACGGCCCAAAAAGTAGAAAAGCCCGCATTTAAATCCCGACAGAGGAGACACCGTGTATTCCTGTGAAACCTGCATAAAAATTCCGCTGCACATTTCCTCCGGTTTTAGTTATTTTCTATGTTTGTAGCATTTTATGCAAGGTTTGACATTAATTCATACTAAAGTCTCCCGGGTGTTTAAAATCTCTCATTATACGGAATATGATGCAGAACGTCTCATTTATATGCATTGGATATTTTCTCTAACTGGATTCTGTGACTACTCTAATGGTGGAACCTTTTACAATATTAATATTCCGATGCAGTACGAGATTTTGTTACGGGGCTTTATTGATTGATATTCCTAACAGATTTGACTGAAAGCCTCGGTTTATTGTTATTGCACGTATACAAAACGCCGAATTATTTTCCCATTTTACAAAACCTGTCTAAAATATTACACTTGACTGATTAGTTTCAGCTATACACTAGATTTTTTCCATGTCTATTGTCCCGACTTGCAATCATCATTTATTAAATTTTCTGTTTGGCGGTTTCATCAACACAATGGAAATCGAGCTGGTTTTTTGCACGCAGTTTTATTGTGCAGAGGTGAATCCGAATCGTTTGATTTAATCTCGCTCCGGTTTGTTATTGAATAGAATTTCGCCGTTTCTTCCCATTTCGCTAATTATCGATTTTGGGAAAAAAACGATGGCTTTGTGGCCTAATTGCGAATCCATGAAATAAGCCCACGCAAAAAAAGCCTATAGAAAAAAGCCCATATAGAAAAAACCCACGAAGAAATAAGCCCACTTAGAAAAAAACGCACAATGAAAAAAGCTCATTCAGAAAAAAACTCATATAAATAAAAGCCCAATCGTCAAAAAGCCCACGGGGAAAAAAGCTCATAGAAAATTAACTCAAAGGGAAAAAACAATCTCTGCTGTCGTGGATGAATTTATAATCGATGAGATGCCAATAAAAATGTTTTAGAATAAAGTTTTGCTGTAATCCTATTCAAGAGAAGTGTAAAATTAAGAGGGTAGAGCTTATTCCACATCTGGTGGCGAAATGACAGTGACAAAAAAGAAACGTGGAATGCCCCTTCATTTTTTTCTCTAAAATTTTCTTATTTGTCATTTTGCAAGAGTTGATCGCAAATAAAAACCAATATTTAAGTAGGGAAAATCATTTAGGTGTAATCGTTAATGAACTTATCATAACCCACGATATAGCAGTTTGGGATGAAATCGAATTTTGTTTTAGTAATTTTAAAAGCGAGGAATGTTAGAAATATCACTGTTAAAAATTATTTTCATGCTTTAACAACTTAATAATTTGTTTATCATTCTTCATCTTATGTATGAATACCTACTTATTATATATTTTTTTAATAATACAGTACAACTTCGACAATTCGGACACACTCTAGATCGGACACTCCAATAGTCCGGAGGCTCTCATATTTCGGACACTTTAGATTCTTTACCTCTACAGTTCGGACAAAATTTGCAGCATTCGTTTTCTAGACATTCTACTTCTTTTAGTTTGTTATTCGGAGAATCTCTTGTTACAGGATATCGTTTTATGTTTAATTCTCCAAGAAATCTCTGGGACACAATCGCCAGACTTGGCACCTAACGATTTTTTTCTGTTTAAATTATAAATAGAATATTTAAATATTATAAATAAAAATATAAATAAATATTTAAAAATAAACATTTATATTAATGTTCCAGTGCAAAATTTGAAAGAGCTGAAAAAACATATTCGAACAGAATGTAATAATATAGATCCTGAATTTATCAGGAATGCAGTGGCGAGGTTTTCAAAATCGCTTGGGTTATTGTTTGGAACTGCAAGGAAAACATTTTGAACACTTGCTTTAATTATTAATTTTTTTAATTAATATTTAATTGTTGTTTTTAAATGTTTATCTTTTATTTATCGATAATAAAGCCTTTCTAAAATTGGTTGTCTATGGCTAGCCTAACGGCTAATCGTAATTGCCATAGTAACATTGAAGTTTGGTATAGAGCTATATATACTATTAAAAAAATGTCCCTACATATGCACCTACATCATGTTATTTTCTGAATAAATTTGTTTCCTAATAAAAATATTAGATTTTTCGTTATAAATTAGCCTAAAAAAAACTTCGCTAATCCGGAAAACTCTTCAATCCGGACGGCCGGTGGCCGATATCTGTCCGGACTATAGAAGTTGTACTGTAATAATAACTGACTTTTATTGTTACATAAACGTACAATAGGGCGAGGTTCAGGTTCATAACTAAAGAAAGCTTGGTGAAACTAGTGAAACAATTTTTTATTTAATAAATAAAGGAAAAATATTGTTCATATAACTATGTCTGACGATTTATTTATCGTTGGTGAAACTGACAATAAGTATTGTATAAAATTTTGTGTGCCCCCAAGCCGCCGTCCTCAGTTTTATATTGTTAAATAGCACACTATCTACTTTTTCTAAAAAACTTGATTACCCAAATATCTCAGAAACTATCCAAAAATAAAAATCGATTTAAAGATGTTAACAGACTTAGGGCCAATTTCATAAATCGAATTAAAGAGACTTTAAAGTTAATATTGGTTTAGAGTGTGAAATATAATGCTTCTTTAAATTTGATTACGAAACTGGCCCTAAACTTCTGTAATTTTTTTTTAATTCTTGTCACCTCCGAGTGGCCGCTCCGATCTGTTAAAGATTTAGAAAATTTTTGATATGACGTAAAAAATTTTTGGGCAATGTCAATTCAATTTTATTTGTTATTTTTTTTATTTAAGAAGAAAATTATCAGAACGCTATTGAAATTTCTCGCACCAAGGCGAGTTGTGAATTTGAAAAAGATGCCGAAAAATATAACTACTATCCTGTAAATTGAAAGGAAATGTTATCTTTAAAGTAGAGGAGCACAAAAAAAGAGTTTACTAACGATATTTACATCAACCACCGCTTATAGTGAACTTCTTTCTCTGTGGGTTTTTTGGTAAGTGGGTTTCTTTCCATGTGGGATTTTTTCACTGTGCGTTTCTTTCCTTGTGAGGTTTAGTCGACGTGGGCTGTTTTCTTTGTGAGCATTATTTCATGTGAGCTTTTTTTTGTGTGGGTTTTTTCTTGTGGGATTTTTTTGTGAGCTTTTTTCCTTTGCGCATTTTTCGTGTGGGCTTTTTTCTGGTCACCTATTACGACGCCTGTGGACAATTTTTTTTTTTAATAGTAAACATACTTTTCAGTTCGCCACCAGATTTGGAACAAGCTCTGCCTCTTATTCTTTTGCGGTTGTGACTCAATTTAATTAGTTTTTTTTAACAAAGTAACTCCCAAATTTAACATTTTCTATACTGTCACTACTAAAAACATAGTATTCGAGTAAGTAACTTAATAATAACTAAAGAAAGCTTGGTGAAACTAGTGAAACAATTTTTTATTTAATAAATAAAGAAAAAATATTGTTCATATAACTATGTCTGACGATTTATTTATTGTTGGTGAAACTGACAATAAATATTGTATAAAATTTTGTGTGCCCCCAAGCCGCCGTCCCCAGTTTTATAATGTTAAATAGCACACTATCTAGTTTTTCTAAAAAATTTCGTTTCTTTCCTTGTGAGCTTTTTTCCGTGTGAGTTTTATGCGACGTGGCCTTTTTGGCCTTTTTTCTTTGTGAGCATTATTTCATGTGAGCTTTTTCCTGTGTGGGTTTTTTTCTTGTGGGCATTCATGTTTGTGGGATTTTTTTGTGAGCTTTTTCGTGTGGGCTTTTTTCTGGTCCCCCTAATTGCCGACGGCCTATCCATTGACATCCTCCTCTCCGGTAACAAATGATGCGTCTCGGAAGTTCGACACAACAAGTTACTTAAACTCGGCGTTTAAGTGAAAAAGTCGTTGAACATGATGTAATATATCATGTTAACACGTACAATTTATAAACATGGAGTGACACTTCAACATACACTTACTAACAAGATGCATATATTTGTTTCAGACGTCCAACGACGGCAACACCACCACCAGCACTTTATCATTCGTACCGAGAAAAGAGGATGACGGAAAATATCTATCATGCAGAGCCGAGAACAAAATGATGTCTACAGACAGACTCGAGGATAAATGGAAATTAGAAATACACTGTAAGCTATTTCTTTCTTGTAAACAGTTTAATTAGGGCGAAAGAGGCTGTTTGTCTATTTCTCGAAATCCATATTCGGGCCGACTAAACGACAATTTCCGGACATTATCCGGGAGTAATTAGAACTGGTGTTCCAGATACCCCGGAGGCGAAGATAATTCTGGGCACTTCGCTCAATCCGGACTCAATCCGGGAAGGAACAGACGTCTATTTCGACTGCGTCATCAACGCCCATCCGCCCGTCTACAAAGTCGAGTGGAAACATGACGTGAGTTGCGACGAGAGGTAATAGTTCAAGTTTTGAGGTTTTTTCGCAGGGAAAAGCGCTGAATATCAACATACAAGCGGGGATCATCATCACGAATCAGAGCTTGGTGCTGCAAGGGGTTTCCAGATCGACGGCAGGAAATTACACCTGCGTGGGGTACAACACGGAGGGGGATGGGGAGAGCAACCCTTTCTATCTTAACGTCATGTGTAAGACAAGATTTTGATTTCCTAAACGTTTTATTGCTTAGAGCACAAAAATTCTTATTGTTTTCTTTACTTGTTTATTTCGTTCCTTGTTTCTTATTCCTATGTACCAATAAACTATCATTTTATTATTATTTTGTGTTATTTTTTTATAATTTACTATTAACAGAATTATTTAACGGCAGTCTAAAACGCAAAAGACTAATATAAAAATTAAAAGAAAATAAAACAAAAATAGAAAAAATATAACAAAAAATTACATTATGAGACCTGAAACACGACTTTTCATGAGTTTCAATCCAAAATTTCAAACAAAAACACATTACAAAAAAAGTTTAAGAAAATTCAAAAAGTTTGATAACAGTAAGTATCAAAAAACAGTCTAAAGTAAGTCGAAATCTACCTGATATTAAAACAAAATTTAAAGTATTTTCCAATATTCAACAGAGAAAGTCAGAAAAAACTGATTAACTTATCCACAGACACTTTCCTTTGAAAATAAGAAAAAATTTCCTAGTAGTTAAAAAAAGTATTACAAAATAAAAAATTATATTTTACTATAGATTCGAAAAAGTAACTATACTTACAGTATAAAATAAGAAACACATTCTAGATATATATTTTT